CTTATTTTTGTATGCAACAATCAAGTTAAATTTTTTTTTTTGACACACATTCAACTTTGTACATACAGTTTCTGAAATCTCAGTTGTAATGTTAAGACCCTTCTTTATTGTCCAGGTTTTTGGATGAAGTTCAGTCCTACTCAGGTGTGAATAAAATGAGTGTACAGAATCTGGCCACGGTCTTTGGGCCAAATATTCTAAGGCCAAAGGTTGAGGACCCAGTGACTATAATGGAAGGTAGGTCTTCCTATCCATATCTCTCACTCCAGAAATCTCTGGATCTGGATTATATTTAGTGTTTGAGTAATCTATTTATCATTTATTCAGGCACAGTACTGGTCCAGCAATTGATGGCTATTCTGATTGGCCACCATGATGTTCTTTTCCCACCCGATGAGGACCATACTAGCACTCTGGAACTGGTTAATAATAACAATAATGAGACGCAAAAACGGCCTACGAATGGTCAGATTCAAAACAAAGAGAACAATAACACCAGTGGGGTGCGACAGTGCACTTGGGACACGCCAGAATCACCCAGCCGGGCTCCTCTGGACAATGGCTCTCCTCGTTCAGGCAGCCCACGTAATGGTTTTACGGGACAACGATTCGAGGTGGCCCGCAGTCCGCCAATCTCCTTGAAAAAGAACCCGGCGTTTAGCAAAGGGAGTGGGATTGTCACCAATGGATCGTTCAGTTCATCCTCATCGTCCTCAGGTGATACCAATCAGGAGAAAATTCAAACTCTACCGAACATGGGAACCCTTCATGCCCGTCGGACGGGTGCGATTAAAGGCTCAGGCACCAAAATGGGCATTCAGAATGGCATCGTTCGGATGGGCGTATCCAGCGCAGATGTTACAAATGGGACTCTAAATGGACGGAATGGACTCTGGGTGCCCAACGGTCACGTCACAATGCGCGAGGCTAAAAGTCGAGACGCTGAGCACCAGCAGAACCGCCTGTCTACGTACGACAACGTCCATATCCATCAACAGCAGCCCACGCAGCCCAGTCTGAGCAGCAGCTGTGAGGACAAACAGAGCGTGGATAGCGCCACATGGTCCACCTCGTCTTGCGAGATCTCTCTACCAGAAAACTCCACTTCTTGCCGCTCGTCCACGACCACGTGCCCAGAGCAGGACTTCTTTGGCAGCAACTTTGAAGATCCTTTGTTGGACGGGCGGGAGGACAACGGACTGGCGGTGGATGATAGGGAGCAGCGGACCAGTAACGGAGGAGGCCAGGGAAGCAGAGGAACGAGCAGCAGCGATAACAGCGAGACGTTTGCCGTCACCAATGGACCGACCAATCACAGTGCTCTGCACAGCCTGGTGGCCAGTCTCAAACAGGAAATGCTCAAGCAGAAGAACGAATATGAGGCCAGGATCAAGAGGTGAGAGTCATGCTCAATCATAAAATTAACTTTGCAGAGCACAGAAACTAGTGATAGTTTTTTTCACAGTTTTGATGAAGTTAAAAATGAATAGAAAATAAAACAAATTAAATGTTATTTTTCACCCAAATTGTTTCCAACTTGCATTGCTCCGTTAAATGGAGATGGAAAATCATTTCCATTTATATATTTTTTATGTGATTTATAGGAAACTAAAACGAGAACTGAAACCAAATGAGGGAAATGCCAATAAATAAATAAATAAATGAGAAAAAACAAAAACAAAAACAAATCATTTACATAAACACACACACTCTTCAGTATGGTACAAATATGAGATGTGGCAAACATTTGAATATTGTTCTGTCTTCCCTGTTACTTTTTTTGGATAATTTATCACTGCCCCCCCCCCCCCAAAAAAAAAAATTGTCAATGGAGGGTTTTTTTTTAAAC